AGCATGAAGGAAAAAGACTTGATTTCTTTTAATAAATTATCTTTAATAATGTAGAAAGTTTATCAGATCATACTAACACTTCCATGTGTTCATTTTTTCATAAAATCACGAGACGTTCGGATATTTAATCCATCTTGAATGCAGTTTGCGCGTTGATCGATACTGCTATCTTTTGCTGGAATAATTCCCACGAATTACAAAAGACAAAAAACCTCTATTCCACTTTCTCCCTTTTACACAAACACCTATTTATTATTCAATTTATTTAATGGAATACCTCCAGCGAAAAACAAAAATCTGTAATGTCTTGTTATTCATCACTAAATTTCATACGATTTTTGCTATCCTACAAGGAAGCCTTACAAAAAGACAAACACATACTATTTGAAGAAAGGTAAGCTTACAAAAACAAAACAAAAAGGTGAATGTTTTTGTTGTTCACTGTATAAAGCAAGCAAGGTCTTATTCATATAGCCACTTGTTTAAGTTGAGAATGTTATAACAAGGTCGGAATATGTTACATGCTACAAGTGATTTTGATGTTCATTCTATCACCTTACTTACATCCGTAGCTTCGTTTCGTGTTTCTCTTAGACGGAATAAAATTAAGCTAACCTTTTGTCACTTGCTCGGCACTATGAGTGCTATTGAGAGTTTAACTTTACATTAAACACTCAAAAAAGAACAATGGATCAATCCCAGTTATCAATCCGAATCAAATTTAAGAATGGGTTCTATCACACGAACTCTTACCTGTGCGCTCTGCCATAACAACCTGAATGATTCTCAGAAAGCAAGGTTTACGAGTAATAGTGATAGTGAACTCTGCGCGAAGATACTCGGAGACCTTTAGATGTTTACTCTAGTTAAACCGAATTCTTTCTTTATAGTGATATTTTTAAAGATCTTCTATAGAACATCATCTGCATCGCGTTGACTATTGATAAAATCATATAAACGTCTTAATTTTCTAGACTGATTTTTTGGCTTTTTACAACAGTATTCCCGAAAGTTGTAGCTTGACTGATGGAGATAGTAAGAAAAATTTTAAATAAACATTAGTCTCAGCCATTTATTCAACCAAATGGGTCAAAACCAAGGCGACATAAGGAAATTTGGTTTTAGTTTATTACCTCTACCGAGACCGTTTGGATAAGCAATGCTGTCTAGATCCACATTTTTCAGATCTTGTATGTGAATAAACTAGTCTAAAATTGTGAAGTTTAGTCATACTTTCGTTTAGGTTACGTCTGACACGGTAAAATTTTTAACCCCATCGGATGAATTTAAGAGGGGTCGTAATGTGACACAATGAAAAACCGAGTTGTCTGCAAAACTAATGAACGGCAATAGTTAGAAACTTGAGACAAAAACGAAAACGTGCTCCACTGAGTTTCCAATCAGTTCTGAAAATATGAAGCCCCAGTGAGTTTTAGTTTTTATTTCACAGCATTTCTACCGCAAAATGTCAAAATTTCGTCACGAAATTCACTCCGATAGCACCCAGGTCTACTCTCGCGCCCTAGTCGCGGCGCGTACGCGATGTCGCGCAAGCGATCGCTGTTGATTCACGAAGTCGCGGCGGGATCTTGAAAAATTCTTATTTGAGAGAAGAGGACTTTTAAGAGTCATGGTGAGTTCGCCATGTCGCGACGCGACTCTTGTGATCACGAATTTCAACAGACGTGCTCTGCTTAGTTGCGCCACGACTCTTGCTGCAACAAGCTTTTCTTCAAAAAACTTGATAGTCCCGGTGCGATCGCAAAAGTCTTGTATTCCCATCGCGATCGCGCTGAATTCTTAAATCACCGTGACCTTGTCCAAATCTTATTTTAGAAAGTCTTTTTTTAAGATTCGCTACACGATTAATGTTCGCGACGCGATTGCTATACTATCGCTATGTTGCGGCGCAATCGCTATAGCGAACGCGATCTCGCGGCGGGACTTGAAAAGTTGATAAATTTTCGAAAAACCAAGTGAATATTTTTTAGCGCGGCAGGATTTGCGATATGGCGAGTCGCGCTGAGACAATCACAGATATACAAACAGTAGTATTTGCGTAGTCGCGTCGCAAGTCTCGATTTTTATCGTTGAGCTGCGGTCTAAGTAGAGGAATTTTAAAACGTCGCGGCGCGAGTCTTGATTGTTCTGTGTTATACTTTATATTATCTTTTTGAACTTATATAAAACACACATAGTGAGAAAAAGAAAAGAACAGGCCACGTGTATGTATGTTGTGCTCATGGCTACGTTGTGTTCTCTTCTTTTATCTTTACTTTAACCTGTTATATAACAAGTGGCCTAGTGTTTCGCGCAATATCATTTTTCGTCTTTGTTTCCATTTTCAGGAAAATGCTAGTGGCTACTATCATGTATGTACATACTTTACAGCAAAACTTATTTGTGATTTACTAATGATGAGAACAATTCCATTTTATTTTCTCTTATCGTTTATTTTATGATTAATTTTCAACGAATAGTAATGAAATTTTTCATATTTTTATTAACTATGTGGATATGAGTAACATTTTCCTTGGATAGAAGAGTAGATGAACATTAAAAAAAAAATACAATTCGTTCTTTCATTATATGAGTTAGATTGTGCAACTGGTAATAGAGAGCGAAACTTTGTTCCATTCTGCACATATCAGATTTTTCTCTTTCTGCCATTTAAGCGAGAAAAAGAAAAAAGAAAGATGTCTACACATCGACAGAAAAGAACAAATTTCTCTATGCGTGGAATGTACGAGGTACGAAGTTGTTCTTATCATCATAGATCATAAGAGAAAGCAAAACAAAACGATGTGACTCTACCGTTACAACAAAAAGGATCAAGACGATTACAGTGTGTGAAACAAAGTCTTCCTGATTCTAGTATGAAAAACGTGATTTTGTTTTGGTATTTTGTACTCATTGGATTTATTACATGTGTTTCCACTCAACCTCCAACAGCATTGGACGATTATGTAAACAAAGTTGATCTGTCTTATTCATGGTATGAAATATCAGAAAAACGTTTTTCTGGTCCTGGTTATCAAGGTTTCACACTAAATATGACAAGTCAGACTTGGTTAAAATCGGCAGATTTTATAGGTCAAAATTCAAACTGTCATATTTGGTGGCATCAGGTCGTCATTGTCATACCCATAATCCTTAATCCAAAATATGCTACAACATCAACACTTTATATAAAAGATGGATACAATGACAATGGTAATTATTCCAACGGTGATCAGTTTAATTCTATAGTTAATTTTAGTTTAAAACTCGGTATTGTTGGAGCATTGTTAAACCAAATTCCAAATGCACCTTGTATTTTCTCTGCCGATCCACAACGAAAACAACGTACAGAAGATGGAATACTAGCCTTTGGTTGGGCACAATATTTACAAAATACATCTCAGCCAGAATGGTTATTACGTTTGCCTATGGTGAAATCTGTTGTACGAGCGATGGATGCGATAACTGCGTTTGTTTATGAGGTATCGAAAACCGAATTATCAATCAATCAATACATAACAATGGGAGAATCGAAACGAGGATGGACTACATGGTTAACCAGTCCAGTTGACAAACGAATAATTGGTACTATTCCTATAGTAATGAGTGTATTAAATTTTCAAAAAAATCTGCATCATTATTGGAGATCTTTTAATGGTTGGTCATTTGAATTTGAAGATTATTACAATGAGTCTATGGGGATCATCCACAAATGATTTTAACACTTTTGACGTTTTGCTAGAGGCCCCGTCGTTTATATCATCCCGTCTAACCTAAGTCTAACTTTTCATAGGAATTTCACAATATTGTTCTCAAAGCGCTCAATTTTGCACAATGCCGAAATCCATCCTACCCACGCAGCTATCTGATAGCTAGAAGTTTTGTAAAACAATATTGAGTATTCTTCTTCGTTTTCATCGCAGAAGCATAAAAATAATGCTGACTGTAGTCATAACACACCTGGTATAAGCGAATTATGTGAATCAATAAGAACGCTTTTTCCCCTTAAACTACATAATCTTACCAACTATAGACGAGTTAGTTAGAATTAGCACTGATCAAATGTCAGTCAATTATCAAAGCGTTATTACATAGTGGTTGGTCCAAAGTATATTCGTTGTTTTTTTTAACAATGGACGATTGATACACAATGGTCTATTCAAACTTATATTTTAATAAAAAAATGATAACAGCATCATTTTTCTTGCTTTTTTCTACTTAGTCGATGTTGTGGCCGACATGACTTATCACTTTCCTTGCTAGCATAGACTGCTATCCTGGCTGTCTAATATACTTTCATAAATCAAGAATACGCGCACTTATATGATTTTCGTCTTATTCTGAGCTTTACTTTCTTAACAAAGTCCTCACAGTAACAACTCAGCGAACCTGATAGAAAGCTATGATGGCTGCTGTCAGAATGCTGGTAAAATCATCCATAGAACTGTGGAGAACCGTAAAATGCAGAATCATTTTGCTTCTCTACGTGATCATGTTTTTGGAATAAGTTTTTATTGTTATTGTCAGCCTAAAATAAAAATACTAGCTCCAAACCCATGCTAACAAGGATTGCCAAAATCAACCAATGACTACTGACCAGCAAGTAAATCTCTTAAACAAGCAGAAAAAATCACACGCAGCATCCACTATACTGTCAAACTTACCTTTCTTTCATTTCATGTCACTTAACTTCAGATCCTCCACAGCCTCTCTATGGCTGTTGTCATTTATGATTGATCCCTCACAGCTCGCCTAGATACAAAAGAAGTAACTCAAATGATGTCTATTATTGATCCCTATGTTTATAGTGAACGATTGAAACGAGTACCAATATATAATATTGAAACAACTGGAGATGAATTTTTTATGCCTGATGATTCATTATATTGGAGAGAAACTGGTATGAAAGGTATATTTCATCAGAGGATGATGCCAAATTGTGAGCATACATTGACAGAATGTAGATCAGATGCTATGGCTGGTATACAAGCTTGGCTTATAACATTAGTTTCAAACGATTCATTCCCTCTATTTAAATGGTCAATTGCTAACGGTACTGGTACAATTACAGTTCAGCCCGAGAGTGGCATTTTAAGCAACGTTTCAATGTGGTATGCACATACTTTAAGTAGTGAAAGACGTGATTTTCGTGAATATCGAATGGGCACAGGAGGTCCAGATTCTCCACCTATTTATCAACCAATTAAATGGTTTTCTCAACAGTTAAAAGCCAATCACAATGGAACATACACAGCAGCGATGCCAACTCCTAAGTCGGGTTGGACTGGTCTATATGTTGAGATGCAGTATACTGCTCGAAATAAAAATATGTTACATTTTACTACTGATGTATCTATCATTCCCCAAACATTTCCATTTCTCGATTGTCATGGATTGGATTGTCGAGGGACACTATTATAAAACTTGACTCCATCTTGATTTTTCTATGACTCAATTTTGGATGATTGTATGCGTCATAAAATATCTCTCAGTTCATTAAAGCCGAAGTACAAAACGTGAAGTCGCGTGCCGTTATTTTCGGTCAAAATATTTTGCTTGAATCTTCTAAGCTTTAGGGAAAAGAGCATTTTAAATAATCGATAATCCTACCATTGAGCAACATACAATCGTCGCATACAAAAATGTTTTAGTTTGCATAGAGCGACAACAGTTTGTGGGAGAAAAATGTTATTAGCAAATTCATTTTGACCGCAGCGGCACACCACTCAGGTTCATATATGCAAAGCAAAAAATATTTATTTTTGTCGAAAATATTTAGCAGTGTGATAATTTAATACCTTTTTCAATGAACCAGAACTAAACCTTCAATCAAGCTCATACTAAAAATCTGAACAAAAGCTTTTGACTTAAAGTGACACAGTTAACAGCTATTTTATGTCTAGTTAACGGTCAGTCTTTTGGTCTTATAAAAGGTGAATAAATAGTTAAAAACTCGGCAGTTTTTTTTATCGTCAGCGTGACGTTGAAATAAAGAACAGCAAACGACATTATAATTTGACAATTTTTTCAACATTTACCTCTCATTCTATGCTTTTTTAAAGATCATTCTTTAACTGCCAATAGGCGTGTAACATGAGAAATTTTTCAAGTTTTACAGTATGTAGGACCAGACGGATTTTGTTAAATCTCAGTACTTCAGGGGGGGCACCCCCTCCCAAACATGCTCTCAAACTTGGTCAGTTAGTAGATAACACCTTCGATCGTATGCCTATGCAATGAAAAACTCATTAGTCAAGTATTGACAGAGTTATTAATTAATTAAGTTCAAACGTAATTGAAATTTTTAGTTTGACAGGCATCTTTTAAAACCTTTCTGGTTTTCGATCTAAATGTTACATTTAATTGATTGAAATGTAATTTTATAGAGAATTGCTTGGAGATATAATTCCATACAAAAAAAGTTTAAAAAAGGATATCTCTGACCGTTTTTTAATTACTAATTAGCTCTGGTTAGCACTAATTAGTGGCACTCCAGTGGACAAAGTAAATTTTCCTAATGTCGGAACAAATGGAAGCAAATCATGCGATATATCATTCGATAGAACTTTTCGAGCTCTATCGATTGAGTGAGCCATAGTGAAAAATCATAGAGATTTTCGCCAAAAAATAAAAATAAACTAAAAGTTTCGAAATACATATCAATAGACTCAGTTTTCGCTCCTGATTCCGAATATGATATTTTTATTACATAAAACCTGAGTTCTGGTTGAGCAAATTGAGAACTGGTCAGTTTTTTGAAACCAAAAATGATTAAAGAGAGCAAGAAAAAGATCTTAATTAATACCTCGGCGTTAAAAATGAGTATACCCTTTTCAGGCTTGATTATATCATGCTGACTCCGAATTTTCTTCGAGAACATGATGTAACCAGTTATTGAGGTTTTTATCGGTCTTATTTCTTTAGGACCCCACAATCCAATCTGCAAAACGTAAAAAGATATTTTTTACGGAAGAGCTCGCTCATACATCAAAGACAAAGGATTCAAAGTGAGTACACAGCAATTCTAGTTCTCGAAAGCCTTATTGAAATCCTCGTTGCGTTTTTTTGTTATATTATTGAACTATTTTCAATCGATTTTCACTAAGGGAGCGTTTCAAAATTCTTGCCGTTCTCTCTGCCGCTCTGCCGTTCTGCCGTTCTGCCGCGGCATAACGGATTATTTTTAATGACATTTCGATATATTATCGGTTTCTTTTGATGATAGATTATCGGGTTCTTTTGACTTTCCAAGGTAGAAGTACATAAAAAAGTAATTAATTCACAGGGGAAGTGCATGGCAGTTCAGTGAGTAAGAAAGTAAGGAGACATAAATCCTTGCCACGTTTGTTGTTGCAACGTTGAACATTTTCCTTTTAGCTGTTCTGGGTATCAAAAGGGTCTTTCTCAAAAAGCTTTGATTGAGCCTGTACATCAGAGAAATACTAAACATATCGACCATACAAAGATCTCTAAATAAAAATGTTACCTGATCGGTAATACTTATAGAGAAACTATAAAACATCAGTCTCCCTCACCTTTATTTTGAGATCAAGTATTAGTCGCATGTAGTTGAGAACCAGTGGCGTAGCCAAAAGAGGGGGATAGGGTTCACAGGTCCCTCCCTTGGAAAGGTAATTTGCACTGGAACAAATAAAAAACTTTCGATTTGGTAGAAAATGTTGGACCTCTCCCTTACGGCCTGTCCAAATGTCACGGAATTC